TGCAATTACCTATTTTACCCAAATCATTCAGCCCTAAAATGAAAAAATGTAATCAATTTACATCTAATAAAAGTAAATGGAAATGAAATGAAACACTGACTCAGAATATAAACTTTAATCTGAGAGTATTTATATTGATATTGGGTGAACAATGAAGGAATGACAGGTGTGTTTATACATATTCTGCTAATTTCAGAAGGACATCAGTAATTAGATGAATAAACACAATCTTAGATTATTTAGCACTTTTTGGTTTTGGAGTTTTTTTTCCACAAAAGAATCACAGGATGCACAGTAAAATATTGGCAACAGTATTTTTTTGTAGGTTGTGTAAAACAACTAAAAGTATAAGGCAGACTTCTTCACAGCACGTTTTGTGTCATCCCAGCTTGAGGGCAACTTGGTGATGGGTGAATGCTTAGATGGCTATGCTAGTTGGGGGCTCATGAAATAACATAATTACCAAAAATAACACAGACAGCCAGTCTATTCTGAAATAGTTTAAAAGCATTGGAATGAGGGGCTAACATATCAGTTCACAACATAATTTAAAAGAAACACCACAGAACATCATATTGCTCAATAAAGAGAAGTGAAGGTGTAGCACAGTATTTAATCAAAATCTGAAGTTATTTATCTGCAGGATGGTTATAGCTCCTTCAGATATAAGGATAAAAAACAACTCGCATCAGGGGGATGCGCACACTGAGAAAACGGTCCACTGAAATGACCAGGAGCAAGATGGCAGAAGCCACCTCTAGCATTATGATGACCCAGCAGAAGAAAAGGCAGCCAAGATAGAAGGTGTTCATATGGATGTCAACCAGCACAGTAATGAGGACGGCCACAGAAGGTGGGCTGTCTGAAGGGCTCCACATGTGCACACTGCCCAGATCATCAGCACACTGCCCAGGCAACAAGCTACAGCAATTATCACCTAATGAGGCACGAAGACCCACACAGCACTGCTACCCATTGGAAGAGAAAGAGATCAACCAGTACAGGTGGTGATGATGGAGTTTAAGAGTCTGTGACTAGACTTCCCTGTGAGCTCTGATAAAAACTTACATGTTCATGTGTTCTACATAGACTTGTTACACAATGCAAAACCACAGCAGCCTTGTGAAACATGCCCCACCCTATTAAAGGACACCCTCTACATAGCTGACATACACAAAAACAACTTACTGCACAGGTATTATGCATCCTGTTTTATAACAACAAACATTTTTTCAATAAGTGTCTTTTTGACAAATTTGCTCAGCTGAATCCAGAGATGGGGACTCCAGTCAGCAACTCAGACTCGAGTCACATGCTGACTGACTCTTGACTCAAATCAACACTGACTTTAGACCTATGACTCAAAAGAGGAACCCTCTGGGTGTTCTAGGTCTTTAAAGAAGGTCTAATGAACCATACATCTTTAACTTGTAGTTCATTTTTGATTTACAACCCCAATTCCAAAAAAAGTTGGGACGCTGTGTAAAATGTAAATAAATGTAAATAAAACAGAATGCAATAATTTAATATAATCAAGATTAAATGTTAATGTCTGTTAGAGGGTTAAATAGTACATGGAATGTATTTATAGATTCATATGTCCATGTTTGATATAGACTGGCCCTAAAATGTTCATATGAAACGCTGTTAACTTAGTGCTAAGATTCCTGTAGGGGCAGCATAAAACAGCATTGTTGTGTAGGTGAGTTTTCTTTCCACTTTTTTATTAAGTTTTGACATCCATATAAATTAAAACCACCAACCTTAATGAGATAAATCAATAAAACCTTTCGTTTCCAACCTCATATGTGTCTACCCGCCAAGTAGTGTATTTGCAATACTACAGACTAATAAGCTGTTTCAAGTTGTTTTGCCTCTTTCCTTTAAACACTGCATTTACTGTCTGCAGAGATTCAGTTCTGTTCCACAGAGGTGGAAAGTAACACATTATATTTACTCTCATTGCTGTACTTCAGTACATTTTTCCTTGTAAAGGTATTTTAGGCACAAAATAAAATCATAGTATTTCTACATTTACTTCACATCATCAATTTCTAATAAATATTTTATTATACTATACTATTTTCCTTTTCACCTGGATAAATTTATTCAGTTCTGAAAGCCAATCAAAACACGTCAGAGTTCATACATCCAACATTTACTCAAGGAAAAAAGAGGCTAACAATTTTACCATCACACAAGGAGCATACTTTATCCAGACTGTCAACATCATGTATTTTCAAATGATCTAAAGAAAATTGTGCTATCGTCAGCCTCCAAATCTGCCTCCAGCTGCCAAAATTCTCACTTCAGCCTGAGGGAGCAGCTGACTGGCTAGCTGAACAGATACTGGGTTTGCTATTTGCTTACGTTGTTTCACACTAAAATAGATGAACTTAGTTAGTTTGGGAAGCACATAGTCATGGATGTTGTTGTTGGGGGGGCCTGAAATCCACCACCATCTCTACAGTCTTGTGTTGGGCAAGCAGCAGGTAGTTGCTGCTGCGCCAGGAGTCCAGCTGCTCGACTTCCATCCTGGTTCCTTGAAGACACAGTCATTGGTGTACAGACTGAAGAAAAGGGGTGAGAGCACACAGCCTTGTGCTACTCCAGCATTGAGGGTCTGACGTGTGTTTTCCAAGCTGCACCTGCTGTTCTTGTGTTTGTCAGGAAATCCATGATCCACTGACAGATGGGATCTGGCACAGACAGCTGGGACAGTTTGATCTGCAGCAGCTCTGGCACTGTGGTGTTGAAAGCTGAGCTGAAGTCCACAAACAGAACTCTAGTGTAGGTTCCAGGACTGTTGAGATGCTGTAGCAGGGCCATGTTGACCACATCAACAGACCTGTTAGCTCTGTATGTGAATTGCAGAGGGTTTGTAATGGACTTCAGGTTAGCAAGGACCTGGTGTTCAAAGACTTTAATGACTATAGAGGTCAGGGCTACTGGCCTGTAGTCATTAAATCCAGTACAAGTCCAGTAAAGTCACTTTTGAAAAAGTATCTTTGTCAACCCTACAAAGATATTCAGCTGTAACACGAGGCTTTTATTAAAGTACACAGAACACATTTACTAAAATTCAGGTTCCTTATTTTGGTAAAGAACAGTGCTTATCTAGTGATTTTCTAGACTGCATGCCTGTACAGCAGGGGGCACTCTGGAGTCTTTGCTGTAAATTTCCATATTTACAGCACAGTATTTCCATATTTACAGCAGAGTAACAAGTAAAGTTCCATCAGGTAAATAATCTTTATACAGAGCAGATCAAGACTGACAGACATTTGTCACTGTGGCCTTAATTACTGCCTTTGCAGATCTCTGCCTCAGACCTTTCAAAATTACATTACACGTTTATTGCTGCTCTGTTCTTATCAGGGTCTTTTACTGTATTAGTTAATCTTTTTTTCTCCCTTTTGACTATTTCAACTCAACATTCTAACTGACCAGGTAGGTCATAACAAATCCTCACATATGCCTTTCACTGTATGAAGCAGGATTGAAGGAGTCATTGTTTTTGTATCAAAATCATAATTTGAAAGATTACTATATCCTTTATTAATCAACAGTGATTGTCTTAACAAATAAAGAAATATAACTTAATAACATGACTAACCCACATGCAGAGTGCAGAATAAATGAATGTGCTGGTCTTTTTGGCCAAATACATAAATAAATAAATAAATAAATAGACAATTTATATAAAAATTATTTCAATTGAAGTCAAAATATTAGTAAAAAAAAAGATTTGATATTTTACCCAAAACATTCAGTCCTAACATGAAGATTGTGATTAATTTACATGTAATGAAAGTAAACTTACTACAGGTTTAAATTAAACAATGACATTAAAATACAGAATATAAGCTTTAACTGAGAGTATTTATGTTGATATATATTGGAAAATAAAAGATGTTTTATTCATATTCTGCTCATTTCAGAAAACTATAAGTAATTGGATGAATTAACACAAACTTGAATAAAATTACTTAGGACTTTTACACTCAGTGACTGTCTGAAGGGACCCATAGACGACACCAAACAGAGTATCTTCCCTGGTGAAACTCGACAGACCTGAAATGCAGCTGTTTTCACTCCCGGCTTCTTTTGGGTTTTTTGTGTCTGTGTTCTTTTGTTGAACACGTCACAGGTTGCATATTGAAATTTTGGCAAAAGTAATTCTTGGGGTTTAGTGGAGTCAACTTTAAAGTATAAGGCAGATTTCTTCACAGCATGTTTTAGTAATCCCAGCTTGAAGGCAGCTTGATAATGGGGTGGATGCATAGATTGTTTTGCCAGTTGAGGGCTCCTGAAATTACTAAATTGCCTAAATTGTGAAAAAAAAGATTCTTTGGAAAACTTGGGACATTTGATAAAATGTCAGGAATCTGTGATTCCTTAACTCTCCTGAACCTTTATTTAACTGACAAAAGTACAAAGAGAAGATTTCCAATATTTTAGAACTTAATTGCAACACACTCAAAATAATTTTAACTTAGGACGGAGGCATGTTTACCACTGTGTAATATCACCTTTTCTTTTCTTTTACGGTTTTTACTGGAACTAAGGATACAAAATTTTGCCCATTCTTGCTTGATACAAGACTCAGCTGCTCAGGAGTGGTTGTTGTCTGATTCTCCCCTTCATGACATTAATGATTTACATTCCATACATTTTGTGTGGTGAGCTACAACCCATCTTCGCTTGCTGAGACTGAGCCTTTGGTGGATGCTGCTTTTATACCCAGTCATGATTCCCTCAGCTGTTACCAATTCACTTGAATATTCTACAAATTTTTTGCTATTATTGTGCTCCGTCCCAACTCAACATTTGTTCATTTTTAAAAAATACAATCAAGTTGTTCAGCTGAGTTAAAAACATAATATCTATGTACTTTTGTAAGTTAAATAAAAGTTCAAAAGACTTAACAAATGACATTCTTGTTTTGATTGCATTCTACAAAATGTCCCATCTTTTCTAGAAATGGCATTAGAATTTTTTAGGATAAAACAACAAATCGTTTCAACAGAGCCAGAGGTTTTCCTTCGACTGATGGAAGAAGGAACATTTAGAGATGACTGTGATGGCTGGAAATGGTCAATTACAGTCTTTGTGCATCTCATATATATCATCATTTGCTGTAGGGTTTTTACAGCACTGACTCCTGTGTAGCTCTTCTGTTTTCTGTACTGTTGTCTTTTGTACCGGTCTTTTCTGCATTGCTGTTTTTGTTTCTGTCTGTATTATTCTGTGTCTTGCTCTGTTCACTCTGCTGCTGTTTTCTGTCATGATAAACTCTTCTCCACAGCTTCTTACACGCCTCTTTTATCTTGGGGATCCTAAACGCATAAACTATGGGGTTAACTGCTGAATTAGCATGGGACAGGAGGACACCTAATTCAACGGCAACAGAGGGCACCTCAATATGTGGACCATATAATCTTACAGTGACCATGAGGAATAAAGGTAGCCAACAGACAACAAAGAGAACCAAGACCAGAACCAGTGAAGCAGCCAGTCTGTGTTCTTTTTGGTAATATGTGCTGGACTTGGCAGCCACACCTATATTTGCCCTGAACTGCCTTCGAGTGGTCAGGAAGATGTAACAGTAAAAGCCTGTCATGAGAGCCAATGGAGGAAGGTATAAGCTGAAGAATATGAAGTAAACTAGATATGAATAGGAGATAACAGTAAAGAATCTGCATTCAATTCTGTCTGCGCCCAAAGATTTGTGCCATCCAAACATGGGGATAAAACTCAACAATGCAGCAGTGACCCAGCAGAGTGCAACCACGATCCATAAGCGTTTCTTAGAGACTGTAGACTTATACCTGGAAAAGAAATTAATAGTATCATTTTCTTTTGTTCTGACTATTAAATAGTTTAAAAAGATTGAAAGAAGCGACTAACATATCAGTTTTACAACATAATATCAAAGAAACAGCACAAAACACAACATTCCTCGAGTTGTCAAGGTGTATCACAGCGTGATATTGAAATCTGAAGTTATTTATCTGGAGGATGATTATAGCTTATGATTATGATTATATAAAACTACTCACGTCAGAGGGATGTGCACACGGAGAAAACGGTCCACTGCTATGGCCAGGAGTAAGGCGACAGAAGCCACCTCTAGCATTATGATGACACCACACATGAAAAGGCAGCCATGAAAAGAGGTGTTTATACCAATATCCACAAGCACAGCTACAGGGATGACCACAGACCCCACCAGGAAATCAGCCACAGCGAGGGACACAATGAAGCAGAAGGTGGGCTTCCTGAGGGCTCTACATGTCCACACTGCCCAGATCACCAGCACATTGCCCAGACAACATGCTACAGCAATGATCACCTCAAGAGGCAAGAAGACCCACAGAGTACTGCTACCCATTGGAAGAGAAAGAGATCAACCAGTACAGATGGTGATTATGGAGTGTAAGAGTCTGTGACTAGACTTCCTTGTGAGCTCTGATAAAAACTTACATGTTTCCTGTGTTTTATGTTTACTTGTTACACAATACAAAACCACACTGGCATAGACACCAACTTGAGTCACATGTTGATTGTCTCGCGACACGATTCCACTCAGACTCGAGACTTATGACTCAAAAAGGGAACCCTCTGAATGTTTCTAATGAGTTTGTAAAACAGAAACATGCATGTCTGCAATTTTTAGTTTCGATACATGACAGAATCACACTTCTTTTGTTTCAGCTCTGGGTGACACCAATTTCCATGAAATACAAACAACGTCACTCTTTGTGGAGGTCACTGAGTGTGAACATGAGCAGAAACCTGAAAGCCTTCAAATAACACATAGAAAGTTTTTGCAAGCATGAAATGTTAAACTTTAATCTAGAATGGCCATAAAATATTCATGTGAATTGGAGTCAGATTACTACTAACATACTGTTAGAATCAGCAGGCAGAAATCAGCATTAGGTGTTTTCTTTCCTCGTTTTAGACCGAGTTATGACATTTATGACCCAGAACTGAAGGCCTAGCTCTAATAGTTATGATTTGCCACAGAACAATTCTGAATTTTCAGCCTGAGTAAAAAACACAAACAAAATTTATTACATTAGTATTAATACCTTTCGTTTCCATCCTCACGTGTGTCAGCTTTCATCTTTATCATCGTAAAACCAACAAACGTAATGTGAAGTCAGGGCTGTTTTCCCGAAGTGCTATGTTCAGCCAACACATGTAGTTTGTGTACCAAAGGCTATCCCCTTCAACCCCAGGCCTCCAACATAATATTATCATGAATAAAAAGAAATCTTTTAATACTGGCTAAACACTTACACTAACAACTGTTCTAAGTTCTCAAAATATGTCAAAAAGGAAAGAGTCTTCAGATGCTCAGTTTGTTGAAGAGGGGAAAAAGATTCTTCTTTATTTAAGCATCAGGTGGCACAGGGTCTCGAGAGACCCAACTGCACAAATAGTGTTCAAAACAACAGGTTATATACCATTTATCTGGGGTAGTTTGATATTTCCCCACCCTACTTCTCAAATTTTGATATTAGCTCATTCTCCAATAGGCATATCTCTTCGTTCATCAGTTTGGTCATTGCATGTTGAGGTCACTCCTAAAACTGGTCTCAACTGGTTTTTACAGTAAGTCAGGAAGTGCACGCAGGCCTCTCTGTGAACCCAGGGGACTTTCCAGTGTCTAGAATCTCCTACACAGACAGACTAAGGCCAACCCTTTGTGAGAGAATTAATATTCTCTGTTAGCCAATACTACCTATTTGGTTATTGATTACATTATCTAATCTATTTGATTACTGATTAACATAATATTTATTCAAAATCTCTGTCGTTTGTTTGGCAAAAATTGTTAGCTGGCACAAGAGCTAATTTAGTTTGTCAGCTAATCTAGCTTTACGTTTTAGATCAAAATCCTTTTAATAAAACTTCAACTGGTTCTTCCTATAGATGAACAGTAATGCAGAGAAACAGATGGACTATCTTTGTGAACTACAAAGTGCAGCCATATGGTAAGTGGAGATGATAAAAATGAACAATAAGTGTAGAAACAAAGTAGGTGTTCCTAATAAAATGCTGGGTGAGTGTATATGTGTCATCAGCTGAAGTAGAGTTTTACAAATCTGACTCCTGTGTAGCACTTCTGTTTTCTGTACTGTTGTCTGTTGTTCCGGTGTTTTCTGCATTGCTGTTTGCGTTTGTGTCTGTATTATTCTGTGTGTTGCTCTGTTCACTCTGCTGCTGTTCACTGTCATGATAAACTCTTCTCCACAGCTTCCTACACGCCTCTTTTATCTTGGGGATCTTAAACGCATAAACTATGGGGTTAATTGCTGAATTAGTATGAGAGAGGAGGACACCTATGTCAATAGCATCAGAGGGCACCTCAATATTATGACTATATAATCTTAAAGTGACCATGAGGAACAGAGGGAGCCAACAGGTAACAAAGAGACCCAAGACCAGAACCAGTGAAGCAGCCAGTCTGTGTTCTTTTTGGTAATATGTGCTGGACTTACCAGCCACACCTATATTTGCTCTTAATTGCCTTCGAGTGGTCAGGAAGATGTAACAATACAAGCCTGTCATGAGAGCCAATGGAGGAAGGTATAAGCTGAAGAATATGAAGTAAACTAGATATGAATAGGAGATAACTTTAAAGAATCTGCATTTATTACTGTCTGCTCTCAAAGGGTTGTGCCATCCAAACATGGGGATAAAACTCAGCAACGCAGCAGTGAACCAGCAGAGTGCCACCACGATCCAAGAGCGTTTCTTAGACACTGTAGACTTATACCTGGGAAAGAAGTAAAAAATGGAATCAGTTTCTTTGTTCTGATTCTTAAATTGTTCAAAAATATTGAAAAGTGCAACTAATGTATCAGATTTACAAAATAATTTCAAAGAAACACTTCAGAATATACAGTGGTGCTTGAAAGTTTGTGAACCCTTTAGAATTTTCTATATTTCTGCATAAATTTGACCTAAAACTTCATCAGATTTTCACACAAGTCCTAATATTAGATAAAAAGAACCAAATTAAACAAATGAGACAAAAATCTTAGACTTGGTCATGTACTTATTGTGGAAAATGATCCAATATTACATGAGTGACAAAAGTATGTGAACCTGTAGGATTAGCAGATAAATTGAAGGTGAAATTAGAGTCAGGTGTTTTCAATCAATAGGGCGGCAATCAGGTGTAAGCAACCACCCTGTTTAATTAAAAGAACAGGGATCTACACTCTCAGAAAAAAAAAGGTAGTAAACTATCTCTGGGGCAGTACCCTTCTTGTCACTGTGGTGGTACCCTCAAGGGCACATCTCAGTACCTTTAGTCAGGGAACATAATTGTACCATAATCCATTGAAATTATATTTTTTAAGTTGTACTGACTCCACACACCCCGTCTCGTCTCCAGGCTTTTTATTTTATCGCTCTGTTTTAAAACATGAGGTTATGAAAATGTAAAATACGTATTTTTGACCTGTAAAAACATATTTAAGGTTCACAATTGGACCTTAGAACCATTGTTGTATCTTTGAGGGAACATTTACATTGTTTGTACCTTGATGAACAAGAAATTACCATTTTTACGCTCTCCAGGAGTGGTTGACCAACAAAGATCACAAGGTGTGTAATAGTCTGTGAGGTCACAAAGGAACCCAGGGCAACTTCTAAGCAACTAAAGGCCTGTCTCACAGTGGCTAATGTTAATGTTCATGAGTCCACCTTCAGGAGAACACTGAACAACAATGGTGTGCATGGCAGGGTTGCAAGGAGAAAAGATTACATGGACAAGCCAGAAGGCTACTGGAACAATGTTTGTGGACGGATGAGACCAAAATAGATCTTTTTGGTTTAAATGAGAAGCGTTATGTTTGGAGAAAGGAAAACACTGTATTCCAGCTTAAAAACCTTATCCCATCTGTGAAACACAATGGTGGTAGCATGATGGTTTTGGCCTGTTTTGCTGCATCTGCGCCAGGATGGCTTGCCATCATTGATGGAACAATGAACTCATTATAATAATTGTAATTATAATAATTATACCAGCAAATTCTAAAGAAAAATGTCTGGATATCTGTTCATGAGCGGAAACTTAAGAGAACATGGGTCATGCAGCAAGACAACGGTGCTAAGCACACAAGTCATTCCACCAAAGAATGGTTAAAGAAGAATAAAGTTAATGTTTTGGATGGCCAAGTCAAAGTCCTGACCTTAATCCCTTAGAAACGTTGTGAAAGGACCTGAAGCAAGCAGTTCATGGGAGGAAACCCACCACCATAACAGAGTTGAAGCTGTTTTGTACGGAGGAATGGGCTAAATTCCACCAAACCAATGTGCAGGACTAATCAACAGTTACGTTTAGCTGCAGTTATTACTGCACAAGGGGGTCAAACCAGATACTGAAAGCAAATGTTCACATTGTTTTGCCACTCACAGATATGTAGTATTGGAACATTTTCCACAATAAATAAATGACCAAGTCTAATATTTTTGGCCCATTTGTTTAACTTGGTTCCCTTTATCTACTATTAGGACTAGTTTTAGGTCAAATTTAAGCAGAAATACAGAAAATTCTAAAGGGTTCACAAACTTTCAAGCACTAATATATATATATATATATGTATGTATATATATATATATATATATATATATATATATATATATATATATATTTATATAGACAGACAAAGTACAACTCACTTCAGAGGGATGCGCACACGGAGAAAACGGTCCACTGCAATGGCCAGGAGTAAGAAGACAGAAGCCACCTCTAGCATTATGATGATACAGCACATAAAAAGGCAGCCATAAAAAGGGATCTTCATACTGATGTCCACCAGCACTGCCATGGGGATGGCCACAGACCCCACCAGGAAATCAGCCACAGCAAGGGACACAATGAAGCAGAAGGTGGGCTGCCTGAGAGCTCCACATGTCCACACTGCCCAGATCACCAGCGCATTGCCCAGACAACATGCTACAGCAATGATCACTTCAAGAGGCAAAAAGACCCACACAGCACTGCTACCCATTGGAAGAGAAAAAGATCAGCCAGTACAGATGGTGATGATGGAGTGTAAGAAGCTGGCTGTGACTAGACCTCCCTGTGAGCTCTGATGAAATGCATGGACCTTCGAGATACAGCGAGAAAACTTCACACTTGCAACCACACATGCACATAAAATGCGCACACAATACACATCCAAAAATAGTTTGGAGGAAGTGAGCTTACACTTCATAAATGCCCAAGCTCAAATGAGAAACTGCAAGAGAATGTCACTATCAGAATTAATATCGAAAAGGCCTTAGTTTTTCATATTATTAAAAACTATACAAATTATTTTAAATTCAAAAGTGTTTCTAATTTTAGTGTGTGGCTAAATCACTTACAAGTGTAGGAAAACGACAGTTTGCTCTGACCAGGGACGGAGCTCAGGGGTGGACACTGCCACCCTTGCTTGAAGCTTGTCCACCCCTCTGGCCAGTTAAACAGAGTGAGACAGCCTGCCCCCATTTTTCTCTAAATGAAGCTTTTAATGCTTAATATGCCACAGTACAAAACTG